CATTGTGCCTGCTCCCATCTAATTGGCCAAAACCAGTCACATGACTTCACCCACCCACGAGAGGGCCAGAAGTGCAAGCGGAGCACATGCCCCACTATTTCTACAATTTGCAAGTAAGAAAACAACAGCTCGTGATGAATGGTAATGACAATGCTACTAAAAATAAATTATAGCTGCTGAGTACTCACTATGCACTAGGCACTGTTCTGAGTGCTTCTGGTGCTAATCCCCATCACAGCCTCAGGTACAATGACCGCCTGTATTTTACAGGTCAGGACATTGGACCCGGAGAAGTGGGCCGTTAGGTCCCACCACTGCCCTGTGCGGTGAGCCCAGCACCACCAGGCAGGGGAAGGGGACACGGTAGCACTGGAACTCTGGATGCCGGATGCAAGCCCCAAGGCTTTCTAGAAGAAGAGCTCTCGGCCTCGCGCCCGCTCAGACAGATCAGACAGATCTCGCCTGGCCGAGTGCAAACCTGGCAGGCAGCTCAGCAAAGGAGCCAAGGCTCTCTTATCTTAATTAGGAAAGGAATTCCCTTCAGCCTAGATTGATCCGTGGTGAGCTTCTCCTTGGGTACCGACGAGCAGGTAGAAAATGAGCGAGGCTTCCGGTTTCCCTGCAGTCCTGTGTCCTGCTCTGAGGGATCTGCTGACAGTGAAGGTGTCTCCCCCGCTGACAGAGGTGGGTGGGGAGTGCCACCTGGGCGCATGTGCCCCTCCCTTGGGGCGGCAGTCTCCCAGGACCTGCTCAGCGCCCCGCCTCCTCATGGGAGGAGCCATCCAACTGGTCTTGCAGGCACCTCCTTGGCAAAGCCTGGTGTGCAGCAGGCAGGAGCCCCGAAATCTCCTCCTGGGCTCCCTTCAATCCCTCTGGCTCCTGGGAGCTCTTTGTCCATTGCTCTCAGAGGTGGCTCTAGGCTCGGTGCCCAGGAGAAACCACACAGGCTAGGTCCCACTCCATCTGTTCTGGGGTGTGGGAGTGGGTTACCCTAACTGCTCCCCCACATCTTCTGCTCAGCTCTCTACCCAGGACCAGTCAGGGCAACCTTGGGAAACAAGCCACCTTCCTTTGGGCCCAGCTTGTTCCTCCCTGAACCCAGGCCCCTGGCTTCACCAGCCCCTCACCCACGGGCACGCCCAGTCCCTGCAGGCCCTTCACCGGCGGGCCCCAGGCGCAGCGGGCAGAAGCAGGGCACCGAGGGAAGACAGGCCGGTGGCTCTTGTGTTACTGGGGAAGTCTGACTCAGTTTCCACTCACCAAGAAAGGGAAAGAAACTGGAAGCTGGCGTACTGTACCCCCCCTTTTACAGGTGAAAGAAAAAAGGGGGACCCAGAGAGGGACAGTGACTTGCCCAAAGCCCCACAACACACCAAAGGCAGAGCTGGAACCAGAACTCCTGAATTCTGATCCGGTGCCCCCTGCACCCTGTTGGCTGTCTCTTCTCAAACTTCCTGCCCACGAGGGTTAAGGCAATGACTCAAGGCTTATAAAACTGCTTAACACCAGAGGCTGCAAGATCTTTAGGGATTTTTACAGCGACACATCTGCTGGAAGCATTGTACGGAAGAGGAAACTGAGGCCCCAAAAGTTAGGGGGACCTACCTGAATTCCTACCGCCAGGGAGGGGCAGAGGACTCCCAGCCCCCCACCCCCTTAAGTGCTCTTTCTGCCCACAGGTTCCAGGTATGACGGTTCCAGCTGCGGGATGGTGAAGAGGTGGAGCTGACCTTCAGCCTCGGTCACACTCAAACAGGCTGTGGCCCAGAAAGCCTTGTCCACACTCTGTACACAGCCCAGGGAGGCAGGAGACCATTATGGGGAGAGGAGGGACGGATGGCTGGGGAGGCTCTTACATATCTTCAGGAAATACAGTGAAATGTCCCAACTAAACTTCATTTCTGAGACCACAGAGCTGGCAATTTCACAAGCAGTTCCATGAGCCACAAATGCCTACCCTTTTACACGAAAAAGGCACTGACAGGACTTGGAAGGAAAGATTTGGCAGCAAGAAAGAGCAGTCTGTTGACACCACAACAGCAGTGGGTAGAGGTGGCTGAGGCCCCAGGGGTGGGCTGGTCACCGCCACACAGGCACAAGGGGACCCATGTCCAGTCCCCCAGCCCGTGCCCTCATGCTGAAGAGACAGAGCAGAGCCCTTCCGTCCCCGAGCTCTCTCTCTGCCCCCCACCCCACCGCATCTCCGTCCGGCCCTTCACAGATGGAGGACTTGGAGCCAGTGTGGCAGGGCGAGTGCCTGAAAGTGACAGCCATCACTTTAGCTACCTTTAGACTAGGATGTGGGCAGTGCTGCTCAGGCTCTGGGGGTCCAGGAAAAGCGTTGGAACCGAACCTGCTGTGGACACTGGGCCGACTTCCCTCACCTGGGGACCGAGCCAGGTTACTAAGGGGAAGTCCTGCTAGGGTGCTGGGAGTGAAGGCTGGCGATGGGTACGTTCCCCCCACCCTCGGTTGTTCCAACTAAGTGTTTTCTGGCTGGGAAAATGCTTCAACAGTCCTGCTACCTAAAGCAATTCAATTATGAAATTCAGCACGTTAACTGAAACCCAGCACCTCAGTCAGCCCACTGATTTGCCTGTGTCTGGCCACTCTGTGTTCTCCTGCCAGCTCTGCTGGCCCCTCCCTGGCCAGGCCACACCCACTCTGCACGCTGGCCCGGAGCAACCGAAGGCTCAGGCAGTGGGCTGGTGTTTAGGACTGGTGGGGTGGCTTCTCCCAGCACCCCCTGAGCAGAAAGGCTGTGTCCAGAAGCCATCCATCTTCCTGGGGACTGCACTGCACTGGCCAGGACACTGCAACCCCCAGGGGACTTTTCCACCACCTCCTGCCTGCATCCCCCCAACCTCAACCTGCACCTGACTGAGGGTCAGCAACGAGTTTGTTTCCGGGAGAGGCCTGAGTGGGTGGTGGGAGAAAGCAGCCGCCCAGGGCCTGGAATATGGGCTCTGGCGTGCCTTTCGGATCTTGACCTAATCAAGGCACCCTCTCGCCAGAAAGTCTTCACCACCGGTGCCCCCGCTGTGTCCCCTCCGCTCCCCTTGTTGCCCTATCACCGAGGAACTGCGTGCGCACGCACCTCCGTGTGTCACGGCCCCGACCCCGCTCCAGCACACCCTCACCTAGGAGCTCCCTGAAAGCGGGTTCCAATCAAAACCCTTCAAACCATCAATCAATTAATAAATGAATGAACAAACCACCCGCTAAATAATGCTCCACCGTGTCTCATAGTCATAAATGGGAAGACCCGAGCCTCTGCGACTGCAGACCGTTCACTCCCAGGCCTGGGCGGTCGTCCTCTTTCCTTCCCGCTCTCCGCTGTCCACACTGAGTTCCCGCAGGTTTAAGATGCTATTAAGAGGCATGTGGAGCTGCAACTCACCCACAGCTCCTCTCTCTGCACCACACACAGATCCGGCCCTAGCCCCAGGGTGAGGGCTCCCAACATTTCTCTCTACCATCCTTTTCACAAACTCCCTGATCACTTCCTGATAAATGGAATTACCACAGACCAAGACCGAGATAGCTGCGGAGACTGAAACAAGGCTGACTCAGTCAACCCCCACAGGTAAGACTTGGGGACCCAAGGACACCCGCCCGGTCTTAGGACACCAAACCTGCCCCCGGTGGGGTGGACCTTGTGTCCTACCTCTCCCCAGACCCCAAATGCGAGCCTTCATCTGCGTCCTCTACAAATCCCAACAGCACACCCTGCCCATCAGTCCCACCTATGAATGGGGAGAGGGAGGCCCTGGGTCCCCACGGATCTGACCCAAATCACAGTCACCAGAGTCGGGTCCCTGATAAGAAAATGGGGTTCTGCCTCTCCTCCCAGTTCCCCCGACAACGCCCCCCATTCTGTTCCACCGCCAGAGTGAAACCTAAAGGCCCAAACAGCTGGCTCCTCTGTGCTGACTCCCCAGGGACGGCCTATACTCAGGGAGCCTTCACCCTGCTCCGAGCAGCCCAGTGGGACCCAAGAACACCCAGACCACACCTGCGGGGGCCTGGGCCTGCTCCCACCCCATCCCCTTTGATCAGTTCTGGATAAAGTTTTTCTTTGCTCAAAGATAATGGAAATGAAATTTGGGGGTTCTGAAGCAGCAGCAACAAAAGCGCCCAGTGCCTCTGGGGCCCAGTCTCTCACAGGAAAAGCTTCTCAAGCAACCACAAGGGAGGAAAGGGACAGTGGGGCGGTGGCCCAGTGGTGGGGTCCTGGGGCCCGGGCGGGATGAGAGGGAAGAGAGGAGCCGGCTGGAGGGTGGCCGTCGCCCGGTGGGCAAGTGTGTGGGACTTCGGGCCTGTGGCTTTTTTCTGCGCCTCCACAGCTCTCTAAACCCGGACAAGGGGCCATGTAAGGGGGGGGCACAAACGGCCGGGGTCCCCGGGGCGGCGGACGCTTCCCTGGTTAGACCCCTCTGCCCCGCTCTGCACGAGGCAGGCGGCCATCTGGCCCTCGGTGTCAAGTGCGTGGGGACCTGGCCCGGCCGAGGCGCAGCGCCGGGCCGCTCACAGCCTCCAAGGTATGCAGCCTCCTCTTTCCAGGATCGATAGTAATTTTTTAAAAAGAGAGTCCGCGGACTGAATGAATCAACCACTCCCCAGGGAAACAGTTGCTGCTCCCGCGCGCAACATCTATTTGCAAAACAATTCATTCCCTCGCCCAGAGCTCTCGGCAAATGCCCTCTCCGGGTCCCCAGGCACGAGGGAGGAGCCGGCAATGGGGACAGGGTGGCGAACCACAATCCCACCCCACCCCCCACCATTGTCCCCGTCTCCAGCCACCCCCGCCCCAGATCCCGCGGTACCCGGTGCGGCTCCGGGAGCCCAGCCTCGCAGAAGCTCACTCAGCACGGGGCTTCTCACGGGAGATCGCGCAGGACTTGGGGCGGCTCGGGGGTGGTGACAAGTGCCAACGCCGGCGGCCCGGCTCACAGTTACCCGGGCCGAGGTTGCGCCCTCAGCCCAGTCCCGGTACTCACCGCTCGGGGCGCCACCGCCCGCCACGCTTTCAGCCCCTGGCCCTCGCTGCGATCACAGACCCTCGGCTGCCCGAGCCTCCAAAATTCTGCCGCCGCCGCCGCCGCTTTCCCTCCCCCGCTCGCCGCAGCTCCCGAGCCGCTGCTGCTGCGGTTTAGCCCCGGCGCCACCAACAAACTAGTTTCTCCGGCCTTCCCGCCCCGCCTCCCGGCCCGAAGCGCAGCAGCCAATCAGAGACGGAGCCTCCGTGACGGATGGGCGTCCGAACCCATAGTTCTATTCGCAGAAGGATGAAGGGATGGGCTCCCCCAACGCACCGGTACCGTGAGGGGGCGGGGCAGGGAGAGCAGAAGGACTTCGACCAGATTCTTAAAGGGACAGGCGCCTGTTCCCCGCCCCCTCTCTCAAGCGCTGAGGAAGTTTGAGAACAAAACCCATTGGTGTTCTAGACCTTTCCGAAGGTGGGAGCTTTATAGGTTGCAGATGCCTCTTCTGCACCCGGTCTGCAGAGCTACATTTTTATTTGCGAAGGTGTTGAGGAAACGCTTTCTTTTTACCCTTGGTTCAATGTTTGGGATTTTCTGCAGCCCCTAACCCTACCTCTATTTGGAATATGTATTTTTCAGGGTACCGAAGCGCTCCTACTTGTGTCATTTCTAAGTTTCTTTTCTAAGTAGGCCTTTAAATATCCATTCATTCATCCATTCATTAATTCACTCCACAAACGCCTGCGGGATGTACTAGTCTGGTGACAGGAATGATCTGTAATCTCTCTTTACCTCAGGGTTTTCATCTCCTTCCATCACTTCAGGTTGCTGAGTATCAAGTTTCTTCATCTGGACCGAGTATGTTGACCCTGAGTAAGAAGATATCCACCAAGAAGGGCTCCTGGTGGCTCACTGAGCTCAAATTTAAACACAGCCTAGCAGCCCTCTCTACACGGGGGCGGCTCAGGCAAGCCAGGCTTCGGGGAGAAGCCGGCACTGAAGCTGCCTGCTGGCTACCCTGAACTGCCTGCCCGCACTGTGTTTCTCTCAGTGAGCCAACCCTTATAAAATAATTCCTGAAATCCTATTCCAACCAATATGACTGAGAATTTCCCCAACCAATTGGAGATGCACACAGCTTTATTCTCCTCCCCGTTATTAGCATATTCACGACAATGAGAGCAGCTTCACTCCAACCAATCAGAACAGTGCTTTTCGTACCAATCAAACAGGAGCATTTAAGAGTCCTCATTTGCATGAGGATGGACCAATTAGGGACTGAGGCGGGGACTTCCCTGTATATAAGTCAGCTGCTGGTGGCTAGAGAGTGTGCTTTCCCTTGTCGCCAGAGAGTATGTCTGAGTACCTGGCCAGACCTGGAGAGGGTCGCCAAACCACCCAGCAGCCCTCCTGGGGTGCTGTGAGGTTCTGTGAGAAGAGGGATGCCTTGCCTGAACGTCAAATCCCAGAGCAGCCTTTTCTGAAGGGGCCTCCTTGCGGTACTGTGAGATGCTGTGAGGAGAGGGCCTCCCCGCCGCAGGGCTCCTCCCAGCCTGCTGTGAGGAGAGAACCACCTCGCAGCTGGACCGCCTCTCCTGAGGGGGGCGCCTCGCTTGAGGGCCGACTCCCAGCGATGCTTTCTCACAGTTGCGCTGTTTGCAATGAGTAAAATGTTCTTCATCGCACTTCAAATTGGGGGTTCCTGTTAGCATCGAATTGGCACCAACGACCATCAGTTAGCATGTGGCAGGGCCAAAGTCCTCATAGAATTATTTTCAAGACTAATGGAGACAAACTCCTACAACAAGTAAGTGCGCAATAAGCGTCCTTTCTTTTGTCCTTCCTACGGGAAATGGATAATTCCGGTAGGTCAAGGATGCAGAGGGTAAAGGTAAAATATAAAAAGCTGTAAGAGCAAGCATGGGATGGGGAAAATTCCCAGGAAGGACAGGCCCCACTGGAGGGAGGTCAAGGACAAGGAAGAGGTGCACAAAAGACTGGGAGGAGGGGTAGGATTTCGACTGGTGGAGATGAGGAAATGGAGAGCCCAAGGATAGAAATCTGCTTAGACCGGACAGGAGAGCTTCCAGGCTTAAAAGGCTGTGTGAGGTGATGGGGAAGACACTGCCAAAGAGGGCATTTGTGTGTGGGGGCGGGGGGGGGGTGCGAAACAGTACCATGTAGAAGGACTGGAGGCAGGTAACTCAGGCTTTTTTTCTTTTCTTTCCTTTTCCTTTTTTTTTTTTTTTTTTTTTTTTTTAGAATTTTCTTGATTTGAGAGAGAGAAGTATCCACTTGTTGTTCCATTTATTGACACATTCATTGGTTGATTCTTGTATGTGCTCTGACCAAGGATTAAACCCACAGCTTTGGCTTATTGAGATGACGCTCTGACCAACTGAGCTACCCAGCTAGGGCAAATTGCTTAGGTTTTTGCATGTCAAACTCTTACAGGTGAAGGGAGGATCTTAGAACCTATCTTGCAGGCTTACTGTAAAGATTAAATAAGAGAACATATGTAATGGGTGTAGCGCCTAGAAAGTGCTTTGTATAGATTTGTCTCCATTTGGCTCAGAGCTGGAGACTTTTAAGACATGAGAGTTATGCTATTTAAGAGCAGTCTTGGCCAGAGGTAAGAGCTGGCCAATGGTGCTGTTAAGGTGCCTTCAATGGAAAAAGGCAGCCACAAAGTAATTGGTCCATTAAAGAAATGACACCGATCACATTCGTAGTTTTAGCATCTGAACAATTTTCTAGAGCTAGAGTATCTATATAATTGTTGGTTGGATGAACCTTTACATACAAAATTGATTCTTAGCCAGTTCATAGCCATTGCTTATTATTCCATTTAGGTTCTCTGTGAGGTTGAAGTGCCAACCATCTAAAATCTGGTCCACATTATTATTCTCCCCCTCCTCAACTCCAGTGCTTAAATTACATATTGAAATATATTAAAATAAAATACAGGCAATGGAATGAGATCAGAGCAAAAGCACGGGTTGAGCTAGTGACTGTAGGTATGGGTTGGAAGGAAAAGAGGAGATGAAGCTTGCTTTGTCATAGGTCTTAGTCCTTGCTGTAGACCCTGGAGCATAACCGCGCTTTCAGCCTTTACCAGCCAATGTTATGATGACCCACTTATTTGTGAGGCCACCTCACTGCATAGGGAGTTCTGAGAAGGCAGGGACCTTGATATCTCTAACTCCTTGGTTCCTCACGCAAGTTTTATACACAGTTTTGAAATACTTTAAATAAATCTCATGTCAGTTAGCATATACTTTTGTGCCTATGACAGAGAACCCCAAATAACTGACCTTTAAAAAAACAGCAGTTTGTTTCTTGCTCGTGCAAAATACATCTAAAATTAAGTAATCCATGACTGTTTGCTAACTCTAGAGTTATTAGGAATGCGGGCTCCTCTGTTTCCATTCTGCCAACCTTAATGCTTGGTTTCCATTTGCGAGTTTGCCTTATGGTCCAAGATGGCTGCTGGAGCACCAACTCTAACATCCACTTTTCAGACAGGAGAAAGGACTACAAGGAGAAGAGCAGCTATGTGTCCTCCAACTGCATTAGCTCCATTGAAGCAGGCTGCGTGCTGAAGTCCCACTTGATACTTTCATTTACATCCCTGCTTTCTGAAAACACCTAATCTAGAGCAAATCCCCACTTCCTTAGGCCTTCTCCCAAACCACTCAACCAAAGCCAAATTCTATTACAGGTTCTTTATAACACCCTGGTACTGTGATGCCCCTTGGTGCCCCCATGGTGTGTGGTCTCCCTCATTGCAACAAGTATTAAACCCAAATTTTTCATCTACAGGTGTTCCTGGTTGACAGTACAAAGACACAAATATTGGCAATACAAAGCACACATACATTTTACCTGTGGTTGGGGATTTAATTGGCTGTCTCCCCTCCCAGAATGCAAGTTCCCTGAGAGCAGGGGCTTTGTTTTGCTCACTCCTGCATTTGCAGACCTAGCTGGCATATAGCAGCCTCTTCATAAATATTTATTCAGTGAATTTAGAATGAATTGAATATAGCTTCAGGAACAGGGTTAGCTGCCATTAAGTAAATAAGTAAGTAGGTTTATTGGATCCATTCAGCCAAGTCTTCAATTTTTGATTAAGGTCCCAAAAGATAGAACCCCTGGTCATGTCGGGCTTCATGAGCTTCAGTTCTCAAGGAATGGGCTGGGTGGTTGTTGCCATTCTGGGGGTGCAGCTGGGATCAAGGTCACTGGTGAGTCACTGCTTCTGCTTCGGGTGCACAAAGGAGCAGGGCAGGGCTGGGCCTGGCAGGGACAGAGTCTACAGGAGGCGAGAGGGTGTCCTGCCTTCACCTGGTGGCAGTGTGGGCGTCGTGTGAAGAAGAAACCCTTCTGACCTTGCTGCTCCCACCCCAAGAAGCTGTAGCCACTCAGTGGTCTCCATTTTAGAAGTGCCAATGAAGCCCCTGTCCCCAATGCAAAGCCAGTAGAGCTTTACTTGATATAGAAAGCATGTTTGTGCTCTGTACCATACACTGCATGCTGGCAGCATGGGAGGGGCTGAGGGGGTGGCTGCCTGGGTCTGTGCAGCAGTGGGCACGTGCAGACAGAGGGAGCGATGCCAGCTGTGGAGGAACCGGGCTGAGGGGGTGGGAATGGGCTGCAGGAAGGCAGATAAGAGAACATCGCAGAACAAATGCCTCCTTTTAGAAATGTTGGCTGGGGCCTGTCCCACTCCCTTCCTTCCCAGAATCCAGAAAGAAAGACACAATGAGGAATACAGGTTAATAAATGACTGTTGAAGGTGTAGAATAGTGAGTATAGTGTGCTATCTTCGGAGTCAAAAGAGGGGAAAATCAAGGTATACTTGTAAATGCATGTGTGTCAGTGAAGACACACTGTGAAGACAATCAGAAAATGAACCACCTTCCACCCCTGCGTCACACACACAAAGACAGGAAGAAAAATGAGTGAGAAAATCAACCCAGTGGTCCCCTGTGAGTGAAGAGGTGCTGATGGGGGACAGAAGTGTGGACAACACTGGAAAGTAAAACAGTTCAATTTCTGAGCCATAGGAATCTATCATTTATTCACAAAATAATTTTAAAATCAAGCCAGAAGCTTTAAAAGAGGAAATAAAACTATATGTTTCTATGCATAGATCAGGATGGGG